CTGACACACCGAAGCAGCTACTACACATTGCGTTCGCAGCAATGAGAGCGATGATTATCGAAGTTTGACTTGGAACTCTGACAGGTGGCGAAACTAGTAGAATATGACTTTCCTCTAGGATATTATGTCTGCGTTTCAGCCGGCGATGACAGGGCTTTATAAAGTAACTTGCCCCTTTCAAAGACGATTGGTGCTGCTTGTATATGTTTTTCTGTACGGTCCTAGATAGCTTCTTTTGTTCATAGATCACAGTGAAGAAAACTTCACGGAAACGGTCTCTTCTTAGGGGGTTGTGCGTAAGTTAGGTAACCAAAATAGGTGTCTTGGCAAATAGAATGTTGCTTAGCCTAGATTAACATGTTCAATCGTCGATGTCAGATTTCGTTAGAAATACGGTGTGGATTTGCCTACATTAACATACAAACTGGTGAGTATGGGTGATAGTCACAGGAGACGTGATACTTTATAATTTATTTGCATGTTATAAACTCGATCCCTGCTGACTCAGTGGAGCGCCTGGTGCAAGTTATTTTGTTGACGCTTTTTTATCTAGAGGTGTAGCGCATCAGTGTTCCGCCTCGGAAATAGTTCGTGATTTTTAGTGTAGGTGGTATGCCTATTTTGGTGAAATCTCAGGAATATGCATATGACTATATTGGCATGTACTGCGCACATATTCCGTTTATCACCATTTTTAATTTCTTCACCGCTTTTATAGTGCGTCGCTGAAATCAGTTGTTTTTCAAGTTACTCCTAACTTTCAGTCTTGGTCACCAGCCTCATGTCATTGCGAAAACCTGCGCAGTTGAATTACGTGTTGCCTGTGTTTGGACGTTAGCTATTTTGGATTGTGACGAATAGTGAAAACTGTCTACTAGTGGGTTGCGTCACTTGGTGAGCTACGGCCTTGCATAGTGAATCTTGTTTTCAGGACTGGCCACAGCATTTACAAGTAAAATTATAAAAGCTTGTCATAGAGCCGGGTATGTTAGGTACTATAGGCATCCTGTTGTACTCTTCGTCCTGTTTGAGACTTCGGGTGATTGTATTAGGATCAGTTGCGCGTCTCCTTGGTTAGTAGTGCCACTCGGCTTCTGGCTACATTTGTGTGCATAACGAATACAAATTGAGGATGATTTCCCTGCTTCGCCTGTGCGTTGAAATTCGTCCGAGAATCTTACTAACTGAGAGTAGTCAAGTGTTATTTCTAATATTTCGCTTACCAGACCCTCCGTTGGTATCATGAAAGCGGTAGAGTTAATGATCTGACCAACGGAGTTATCGAGTGATTCAAGCAGACAATTTAACAAACGAAACACTAAGAGCAGTGATGTTTCTAACCTCAGCTCTAGCTAAACAAGATAAACATGGAATACTTCGGGACGAATTTGTTCCATGGGGGTTTGAAAAATCCGTTGGCAAGAGACTCCCTGATGAGCTGCATCGTTCTGTTGTTGTATCACTCACAGTGTCTTCTTGTGAGCTGTCATTAGAAATTGCAAGCCTTTTTCGGCTCCTTTTCTTGGCTACTTTTTAATGTACTGTTTAAACCCACATGAATCAGCTTACTTTCAAACGTGTGTTTCGTTGACCTTTCCCTGCATGTGCTGCATCGTTTCGGCTGTTTTCCCATTTACAAGATGATTGGGGTGAAGTAAGTGAAGACGAGTTCGAGACCCTGCCGCCATCCAGCGCCGACAAGCCTGATGCACCTCCCGCGTGCAAGGAAGCCGAAGAGGTCAGTTCGACTATAGTCAATTCAGATGGTGTTTTGTTTCTTTGAGATTGCTTTCGTGACTGAAATATTGTATTCCGTCTATCGTGCACGGTGAAACTGTCTTGCCTGTAATATTTTTGGAATGGAATGTTGTCAGAACGTCTCACTGCTTTGCCTTTGTATTTAATTAAGGACCTTCCGCCTCGTAGGGTTGTTCGCTTTGGAGAGTGCCGTTACAAATTTTTCTAGCTTTCGGAAAATTCTTATATGCACTTGTTTCGGGGTCGTATGTCTGTATGTAAACCTATTTAGACTTACTTTCGATTGCGTCACGTGCAAAATTAGGTTCCAGTGTAGCTGCGCCGAAAAAGAATGAAATTCCGAAAGTGGTGTAAGGTCATATCATATGTCCTACTTTCGCTTTGGATCAGCTAACACTGTTCCACACTTTTTTAATCGCTATTGCTCTGTCGGCCTATCCCGAAAAGGGATAACCTTTCCACGGATCACTAGGAACTGCCCGTCCTGAAAAGAGTGAGCATATTTTGGTTGACAGGCTACTTGGGCTCAACTGCCAGCTGATTGCGACCTTCGAAATGAATGCAGACGTTACAAGTTGGTTCCAATGTCAACATGGACGTAGTCGAAAGCAAATATCACATCCACTTATTACATCTTTCATCTTTGCGCGGCTTATTCATACTTCACATTCAGTGGGATCTTCCGGTAACACTAAGTTGATTTGCGAGTATGTTTACCACTCCCTACTTCAGTTCCCCCATTTCCTCCGACTCATAACTGGGCTTCGTCCTTGCCTAGTGGGTCTAGTGTTTTTTGTAGCCCATATTGGAATATTCTGTTCTTTCGGTCTCAGGCGAACTGACGCATTTCGGAACTCAACATTCGCTCCAGAGGACTTCTGTAATACATTAGTGAGAAAATCGAGAGTAAGAGATTGGTCATTCCATGGACAGGAGCATCGCAGCGATGTTTTTGGGAAATTTCGTTTGCTGCACTACCCGCAATTTTTCCCGACCATTCTAATCGGGTTTGAGCTTGCACGAAGTTAGTTTTGCTTCGATCGACGTTGGTGAAGATCGAGCAATTACCACCATGTTTGCTTCGGTTATCCAAAGTTATTCCGATCCAGAGGTCCTTCACTGTTCACGTTGATACCCATATATAAATCTTCTTCATCAACGTTCAGCTTTCAGGTCACTTTATATCGTTACTTGCGATTAAACCGCATCCTAATCATTACCAGTCGCCTTCCAGCCAATGTCCAAAATACTTCCTTTTTCCTTGCAATTCACTTCATGAGGCCTCTTCATCCCACCAAAGTGTGCGAAGTAATTGTGCACCAGTCAGTCCATGCCAAAAGTGGTTCTCACTCATTTTAAAGCTTGCCAACGGTCCATATCCTTGACTATGTTAGGATTTGAATCCCGGACTTGAGACATTGGAGGTCAACGTGTCACCTGCGCACACTAGACCCACTTGAATCGTCAAGTGGGACGTGCATACGCCTGAGTGATGTGACTGGTTTACCCAACACTATCATCACCAAAAACAGTAACATCATTGTTGACATTGATGCTTCACTGCAATTCGAACCTTTCGAAGATGACGGAACATGACCAAAGCCGCCAATTCAATCCAATGTACTGGAGTCATCGTGAGGATTTCGAGCAACCTGGTTAATCGGGTGCACATAGGGTAATTTAATAAATTCCGGTATACAGGAGCACATAGTATGTAGACAGCCTTTGCTAAGTTACTTTTCTTACTCAAACCGAAGCCATCAAAATTAAGAATGACACTAAAACGAGTTGTACAGGTCATATCTTATGTAAAGGGTGCGGATTTGTTCTTTCTTCGAAATTCCTGATTCAATGTCCAGTGCATAGATGCACGAGAACATCGATATTCGGCAAATACAGGACTTTTGGTGCATCTGAAAAGCATTGCTCTATCCATAACGTTTTTCTACGAATAGCCATGTCTTTTTTTTTGAAAACTTCCGAAGACAGGAACCTCTTTCAATCCTTATCTAAGACACCACTTCCGATTGGACGGCCGCGAATAGCCGGTTCTCCTCATTTCATCTCACCATCATAAAACATGTTTTGGGCATCCAACAAACTACTTCGTTCATATCTACTAAGTATGCACCAACCATTCATAGGTCTACATCTCCAAATGATTCACTTTACAGGGAGCGGAATGCCGTACGGCCTACGATCATGAATGTGCTCAGGGTTTACTCAGCACATCTACACGCGCAAGTGACACAGTTGCCCACAAGAAACGGCTTCATTCTTATGTTTGTCTGATACTGATTGTGATTGCTCGGTTCTTATTCCGACAAGCAAGTAACGTCGAGTCCATTTCTACTGAATATGGTTTTCCTACTTGATTCCTCACCATTGGCTGTCTAATTATCTCACTGCTGTTTTGCAGTGGTTTATAGCGGTGCCTTTTCTAAGTGCCATGGCCGTCGGTTTCGAAATGTGGGTAGCCTTATCTTGAAGGCTTCCGTTCGTCCGTTGCAGAGAATCAAATACTGGTAAAGCATTTTTCATGTTATTTTTCGGAGTTGTGCATAGATGTGGTTCTATCTAATCCATTCTGGTTTCTAACCAACCGATTGTTTGCCTTACCCTGTTTTAGGATGACGATTGGGACAACTGGTCCTAATAAGCTGAAGTCATGTCGGTCCAACCTGGATCACCCAATCTGATTGCGCGCACTCAAATTACCGCAATAGCACACCGCGTCTTTCTTACTCCATCTGTTTTGTGTGATTAGTACTGGTTCAGTGTTCTCATCAACTTGTCATTCGTTCATTCATATATTTACTGTTTTGCTCAACGACGCAAAAATACACTACTTTCACGCGATCATGTACAGTAGCTAATCTTGACCGTTCATTTCATATATACGCTCATATTTCAATCCACAATGCTGTACTGACTGGACGAAGAATCTTTTTTACTTGGTTAATCCGTTTTACCTCCTTCGTATGTTGTGCCACTTGGATTGTGTGATCGAACTATCTGCGCACACTGGAAGAATTGGAGTACGCTTTTCAATCGTTTCAGACGGTTCTACATGTACTCTTTTCTTACGTTGGGCATTGTACTTGTTTTTTACGGTTTGCAATTGTCACAGTAACGTTTCATCCAACTGTCAATTCTTTCGACTAACCGATCCACAGGTTCCCATTTGAAGACTCCGGCATGATATAGTCACACCTGGTGCACATCATGGAGACTTGTCTTCAAACAGGTTCAGATGCTTACTTCATCATCGACAGCGCTATGTTGTTATTAAGTGACACCTACCTGTTACATGACCATGCGGAGCGTGCGCTTAGTAAAACAGGAAGGGTAAAGACTGTCAAATGATTAACTCAGCCATGGAGGTGCACACACCTTAGGTGAACTTTTAAAAGAACGCATCTGATAATAATGCCGGAGAAGAATGTCTTCCACGGGTTTGGTGACCATCGTTAGGAACTTCATCCAACACAAGTCCAGCACAACGACTAAGAAACCTTAGGCAGGCACTGCAGCTAAGCAGTGTTCGCATCTTTGCTTACGTTCCATATAAGGTGTAGCTTCCACCTGTGTGCAAGGAGGATCATGGGAGTTACATTCAAGAGGGCGCGAAAAATCATCGCTACCCCGGCGGTCGAGTGAACTCTGAAGCAGACGGCAAAACACGGATCCCGGTCTGTCTCTCAGGTAGCGTCAGACATCCATATCAAGGGCGATGGGCCAAGACGTATCGAGTTTGCAAATTTTTGATGGCAGCTCCACAGTACTTTATTCTTTTACATCAATTCCCTCCACACACGCAGTTTGTGCAAAACACCGGAAAATAGAGAAAGCCGTACAATCAGCGTGGAATCGTCAATTGCTTGGAGCAAAAAATGTAGCGTAGGGTGTGCGCGACACACCGCTTGCAAAGGCTCCCACCAGTAAGCTGGCAGGCAAATCGCTGTTACATTCTTCACTGTAGCACTGGTGAGTGACAGCGTCATCTAAATTCATGTAATCCACTCCACCTGTTAATTGCAATAAATGGTTTCCAGCATCGCTTACAAAACTGATGATGAATAGAAATTAGCCTGTTCTAAAATTTACACAGCCTTATTCAAATGTGATATCTGCACCGCTTGAAAATGGCTTCCCACATAGACAAATACATTCGTCTCAGTATGAAATTGAAACGGCCATTTTGGCTGAAAACCAGCCAGCTGCACGTACTCATCGGTATTGTCACTGTAATCCAGATAAACATGCCCATGCAACAATCTTCCAGCAATTATGAATCAGCAACAAAACTGACTGGATATTATCTTGAAGGCCACTGTTAGCGTGCATGTGCCGGACCAGTTGCGTATCATTCGAAATGATATTAGTAATTCGATCGAAAGCCATTTGATGATGGTGGAGAAGGTCAAAATCGTGGATAGTTAACATACTCATTGGCTTGGCAAGTTCGCCGTTATCCGGCTGAACGGAAGGACCTATGCGGTCACTTTTACCTGAATTGTAAACGAATTCGTACTTGATCGGTGACGGAATTGTGATCCAGAAACAGTTCAGCTACTCGTAGATTTAGATATGCTGCAATGTTATTTCGGCGCTCTTCTCTCATTTGTGATGTGAATTTGCATGTGAATTTTGCATGGATGAATGTTCCAATATTACCCAAAACCCGAAAACTTGTCGGTCCTCTCAAGGCAAAACATCTTGGACGTAAGCAAACATAACCTGTCTACTTTGTCCTTCTGCTCACTCGGCGTAAGCCTCTCCGGTTACGATGTTCAGCTAGAATGATGCACTAACTATGCAAATCAACTGGTTTTCATCATCTGATTTTAGCACTAAAATCACATTTTAACAGTGGAACTTCTTCCTACAGCGCTCTACCAGCTTGATTTGTTTTCCTTGGTCATTGTCCAAAAAGCCCTTCGCCGCACTTCATTAAGCAAAAACGTGACCTTGTGCACTAAGTTTTTATCAGTTACCTCCTACACTCATTTCTATACAAAATTAGTTTTGACCAGGCTGAACCTCTCGTTCATGATGTTACTAAGCAACTGGGCAGCAGACTCATTCATGTTTCAGTCGGTACGATATTTGGAATATCGTGACAAACGGGCCTTATCAACGACTGTCCAACTTCCGCGATCTCAGTTCACTCCTCCCAGGCTTTCTTTGACCTTTCCAACGGAATAGCCGTGCTTTCTCACTAGCAGGTTTCTATCCAGTGCTTTCCTGAACGATGGTCAAGTATTCCGGAGAACTCCTTTCCTCTCCTAGCTCTTCTAGAGACAGGCCGCAATTCAATTTCCTGTTAATTTGGAAGTCGTGGTTATCAACCGTACATCAACACAATTTTGGACTTGCATGTAGTTGATTGGATCAGCGCATGGTTTGCTAACAACACCATTGACAGGTTTAGTCCACGGTCACCTCTTTCGGTCGCCAGCCATTCCTCAGTTGTTCATTGCATTCGGTTAAGCCGTCGTTTGCAGTTTGTAGGGTGTCGTCCTCAGTCGCTTGATCCCAAGCTGCTTCAAGCAACTCGTCAACTCTTCACTGTCGAATCATAGCCCCTGATCTGTCATGACCTTTTTGGTATCCCTGTTTGATCGCGACACGATATATGATCGCCTCAGTGATCGTCGTCACAGGTTTAGTTTTTGTGGTGGCGCATTGGACCCACCACGACAGGTGTTCTGTCATTATTACGACATCCTGATTTCCGCTAGCCGTCGCCAGAATGGGGCTTGTGGTGTCGATGGGACATAACTCTATAATCTCTGATACGGGGCTACGTACGAATGAGTGATTTGCCCCTGCCACACTGTTTCATCGGTTGGCGCCGCATACAGGCCACAACACATTCCATTACCTGACTTCTCATCAGTGGTCTGTAGGTCTTCTCTGAAGGAAGCCTTATGTTTTGGTGTACCGTTTTTACTACCTTGTGACACTGAATGGTCAGATTCCATCCCAGGACACGAGGTATCTGTAGTGCGATTTTCGACTAATTGACGTTCCAGGACGCTATGACGGCTTCACTCAGCCCCAACCTATTGAAGTCCTGTGGAAGCGTCTCCAGCTTCCTATATCCCTCTGCATTTTCAATGCCTTTTCTGGCCAACACGGCTGCTGCAACCTTCCGTAGTACCGGACCTTACCATTGTAGTCTACCAACATTCTGTAGTCAGGTACGACGACAGCGCCGATCATGGTTATGAAGCCTCTCATCTCTAATCTCTGGTCGTGACGACCAATGTACCAGGTGGTTGCCATTTTCCGGCACATTTTGGATTATGAATGTAGGCTCTTGTGGTCGGGATGTCCAGCGTCCGAGCTGACTCACAATGTCACAGTCAGCCGCATCCGTTGTGCTGGTAAACATCCCTCGGTTTAGGGGACAGTTGCTAATCGGGCATCTACGATTTGACATGTTCAGAGGCCTCGCGCGCTTCAGCCGTTCATTCGAAATTCCTATTTTGATGCAGCAAGTCGTACAGCGCTGCAGCAATCGTGTTGAAGTCCTTGACAAACCAAATGAGGTATACTGCCCGGCCGCGAAACCTCCATGAAAACCACTTCGAATTAGAAACTGTGCAGTCCTGAACATCCACCAGTCATTCCGGCGGGCGGGTGACCCCTCCTCAACCTACTCAATGCCCGAGCATTGTCACCGATCTTCGAACGAGCTTGTTATTGCTTCTCGCATCCGCAGATCGACTTCTCAATACGCTTCAATACTGGTTTTAGGGGAACGAAATGTTCTAGTTCCGAATTGCTATATAGGGCAATATCGTCTCCGTAAGGCGGCAATATCCTTTGTCCCTTCATTAGACAAAGCACAAAGCGACGGAAAGTGAATGGTTCCACCAACAAACTAAGCGGCATCGGTCTAATTAGATATTGGGTGTCTCCAAAGGAAAATGCCGTCCTCTTCCTGTCCTTTGACTTGTTAGCTATTTGTCAGTACCCAGAAAGCAGGTCGGACACCGTAAGATATCGGGATTGCTGGATCCCAGTAACACAGGGGACAAATACAACCTGATTTATGGTTGGTTCATTTAAAAGTTGAAAGTCCACTCATGTCAATATTCCCCTTTCGCCTTCTTCACGGGTGCCACTGGGAAATTGTACGCATTGTCGGCTTTCTCGACTGCACCACGTTCAAACATCCCCTGAATTTTTTGTAGCACTGCTCACATAGTTGGGTCAGTAGCTTACAGGGACGATAAGGTTGAAAGAGTTCAAACGGCAAAGCATTTTCGAATTCGATCTGCGGGCATGAGCCAAACGTATCGTTGTCGCCTGTGGACAGTTCGGAGCACCCCTCGACCACAGACTGTACTGATGGGACGTTACAAGACGGAATCTTTCGAACACGTGGTTAGCCGACGCCAGCGCTTGGGTAAACTTCAGGCTTGATTGAGCAGCGCCTTGCCACCAGTTTTCCCCCTCTTAGGTCGACCATATATTCTGCGCTCTTGAGAAAATCTGCTCCCAAATTTGCCTGCCTTATGCCTTGACTTGTACTTTACCGATCTATTGCCCAGGCGCATTAAGTGCACTGACGGACCGTTTGTTTTCATTCGGTATCCACCCTCCCGGTGAGAACGCACGGTTTGAACTCAGATTCATTCCCTCTCTTCCTCATTTGCACCCCAGTCTCCATGTCGATTATGCAAAATCCTCGCTTTTCGTCCATCTCAATAGCCGCCTACCGCCTAGTCCATGTCACAGTGCCAGTGTCAACCCATCCGAGAAAAAATATCGAATATGTGTAAACCGACGGCTGTGTAAGGACGAATCGGGTATCCTTGTTACCTGCTTAGCTTTAAAATCGCCACCATCTAAAGTGTAGCGATTTGCAGCGAAAGAATTTGTTAGCTCTTTAGCACTTAGGACATGTACATGCCCAAAGTTTTGATTGGCCTTGTTGACTAGGTGACTGATTATTCGGTTTAGTCGTGGCGGATGATGTCTTTCGTCCTGGAAACGCTTCTGGAAAGGGAGCGGATACTGGCTTTACAACCGCAGGAGGAAGCTCACAGACACGCATTGTCCCCAAAAACGCAGCACACTGGGAAGTTTAGACGTTTCTTGAACGTTGCGTATGTCAATGGAACACACTCCACGAACCGTTTGGGGTCTGTTTTTAAAACAGCTTATCTGTGGAGCGTAAATAAGAGGTTCATAACCTCCTGGTCTCTAGCGATGTGGGTAGTGAGCTCCCGGTCGTTTACGCCCTTGTGGAAAGCGATCAACTCACATCCGTGCGTAAAACGTTTGGCTTATTCAGGGAAACGGTCGGCGAAAAGCACCAGTTAAAACATTATGGATACGTTTGGGAGCACAAATGCGGACTACAACGTCGGGACTATTGATTATCGGACTCAAATTTCTGCGCTCACTGCAAACCAGTATCACCTTACCGACTTCTGTGAATGAGAATGAAATCAAAGAGCCGATTCTTAAATGTCCTAAGCCCGCAGGTGGCGTGCAAATACCCAGGAGACGAATTGTTCCATTTGGCTTACACGAGCCTGCTCGTCAAGCATTTCAACGAGTTCATGCCGACTACTGTGGTCCTTTTCTCGGTAAATGCTACGCTTTAATCGTTACTGACGCATATTCACGTTGGCCTGAAGTTTTTCTAGCTACGTCTCCAAGTGCCAAATTCACTCAGCGGGCGTTGAGGAAAGTATTCAGCCACGAAGGTGTACCAACTGTTTTGGTCACTGGCAACGGCACACACTTCACTGCAAAATTCCTCCAGGAATGGAGGAATGCCATTCATTCCGTTACTGGGAACAGTCCCGCGCCCCTGTTTAAATCTCGTTCGTTGCGCACAAGTATTGACTGTGCCAAAACGGCTGAGGTTACATTTTTCAAGGGTAATGATTTACGACCTGCTACAGGAATTGTACTGCCATCAAATGGCAAACAGACGTCACAATTCTCGATTTGGATGATCTCTCTTGCCACCGGGGACGCATTGACCAGGTTGAGTTCAATACTAGAGGTCAGTCTGTTAACAGCACTCCTGCTGTTTCAACTGCTAGTGAATCCTTTGTAGATGATCTTATGGTATCCGAACAAAACGTTGTATCTGAAGAACGCACTACCTGTGAAGAGTCTGAAGCTTCCATCCCGGGGAGATCCGAAAGATTGCGGTCAAGACCACCACTGGGCTGTAAACATCCAAACGCTCCTTCAAACGTGGCGGGTGTGATGAGCATGACTGATACTCTATTCATTGCTCCATCCATTATTCTCTTGTTTTAATATTCCATATGCTGTACATGTACGCTAATTCGAATGCACGCGTGCTACTTGTTGCGCGGATCTGTATTCTGGATTTCTAGTTCGTCTGGTTATTCCGACATACGTCCGAAACTCAATACTCACACTTATGCAAAAGTGCATCTTAAACGCGCGCTTCCCATCGTTCGCACAACTTACCAATCAAAATGCTGGCTTGTGTATGAATTGCATGCCTGCTTTATCTGGTGGACCGGTTATGAAGTGCGAATCGGTGGCAGTCGGTGACCTTGAAATTTCGTACACCGAAAAAATGCCTTGAGTAACGTATCACTTAAATGTACAAGCAAGTTTTTGCCGCTCCCCGCAAAGTTGGCAACTTCGAAAACCCCATATTTTTGGCGAAAATGTTCGGTTTACTTCCAATGGGCGATGTTCTGTTTTCATTCCTCAAAGCACATGGGAAGGAGTTAAATGAACACAGGAAGGAGGCTATAGGGTAGTTGTTTGTGTAGCGTCTTTGCTATTTTGCGTTTCAAGTTAGTGCACTACACATGCGGCAGAGAATCAGCAAAGCCAGCGAAAATTCGAGGAAGCCAAAAAGGTTAGTGGTTTGAGCGCATTTGCTGAAAACAGTGAATGAAGTACTTGCCTACCAATTAGTTTTTGTCCAGAGGGACTCGGAAACAACTCCTGACTACTTCTTACTATCCGGAGTACAATCGTGGGGTTTCTCACCCACTCTAACTTATATATTCATCTCATGTGTGGACGTCACTAGATCAGTGGACATTGCGCACCAAGAAGGCGCTACGGAACATTAACCGCATGTTAGTCGTCTGCGTCAGCTATGTTCTCACTGCAGCATTTCGCATGGAAAGAAAGCCTCCTCCATTTACATTAAATCGGAATGAACTCCGTGACATTGCTTTTGAAGGGTGTAGAAGATTTTCTGGAGGGACAGTGTGTTCTAATGTAAGAGCAAAACGGCCACTCCAAACAAATTTGCCGAATTTGTGAACGAGTTTAATTGTAATCATCATTAAAAAAATAAGCAGCTCAGGGGAAGGACGGTTTCACTGGGTTGAGTCACCCGAGAAGAGACAGTAGGCATGTGGCAAGGTGTCGTGGATTACCGCTATTGAAGAATAAGTGAGGCCATGCCTTGTGTATCATCCGTTACGTTGACAATGAAATTCCCCACGTTTATTCTGTGTCCATTTGTAACCCCCGCCCCACTTTTGTGTTTAGTGTGTATATATGAACTGTCGTTTGTTTGTCCTTACGACTTCACACATTTGGCCTTGAGGTCATCCGGCCATCTGTATCTGACTTTGCACGTGTGACTGTCGCATGTGGGATCCTGTTTGCTCCCCTGCTTTGTACTTTCGTAGTCCAAGCGGACTGTTTGTTTTGGACGCGTATCTACTGTCGAGGTTTGTATAAATTGTGAATTTCTCTTACCCTAATAGTACTATATAGAAACCCAGCTCCGACTTTGTTTTGCCTACCCAGAGGTTCTGGTATTACGCGTCACTCGAAGATACCGTTCGACCGTTACACCTTCTCTCGGTGAGAACCAAGCACGTCGCTTATTGTTCGGTTTAGGTCAATCGGTCAAATGCTATAACGCTGGCCAGACGGTCACGGGTTTGAAACTCCCTGAGTTTCACAAGATCAGCACTGATGACGCTTCTAAACTAGGACCAGCCAGCTTCTCGGGTTTCACAGGATAGATTACTAACTGGCAGGACCAAGTCTTTAACAATACTGCGAAGCTCAAATTGTACTGGAACGACAGGATTGTTAAATCCGAGGGAAGGACTCAGTTTATTAGAACGAGCTTGCCCAAGAGGAGGTGTGGGCCAGGACAATAGCATTTGGAGTTGTGCGTAAAGGATGGGCAAGTCGAGAGGTGACAATCGAGAGTAATAGGAGAGTAGTTGTGATTCTGGCACCAGCATGGCCGCGCTGATGCTTGCCATCACTAGACTGACAAACCTTAATTTCTGAACAGTTCCATAACCGACGTCTAGGTTGCAATGATAAAAAGGGCTGCACATTACTGTGACTTGTTTGCCTTCTGGGGCCGCTGGGCTTTGAAGCTACTGTTTTGCACGTCACGTGCTACTAACATGGAGATTTTGCGCAGCCAAACGGATTGTAGTCAGCTGTGTTGCAATCGGGCGGCCAATGCCGGCATATCAGGGGCCGGTGAAGCCGTCACAAAAGTTTGCAAGAGCTGATGTCTCTCAGCTTGCACGTCAGATGCTGCATTAGAGATTAGAACACAAGAAATGGGTCTTGACGTTTGTAAGCGTAGTGTACGAGGAATTGACTCCTTGATACGTTGTTTGAGGACGAATGGAGAAAGTTATTTTTCAGGGGAACAAAACGTTGTATCTGAAGAACGCACTACCTGTGAAGAGTCTGAAGCTTCCATCCCGGGGAGATCCGAAAGATTGCGGTCAAGACCACCACTGGGCTGTAAACATCCAAACGCTCCTTCAAACGTGGCGGGTGTGATGAGCATGACTGATACTCTATTCATTGCTCCATCCATTATTCTCTTGTTTTAATATTCCATATGCTGTACATATACGCTAATTCGAATGCACGCGTGCTACTTGTTGCTCGGATCTGTATTCTGGATTTCTAGTTCGTCTGGTTATTCCGACATACGTCCGAAACTCAATACTCACACTTAAAGTGCAGTGCATCTTAAACGCGCGCTTCCCATCGTTCGCACAACTTACCAATCAAAATGCTGGCTTGTGTATGAATTGCATGCCTATCTGGTGGACCTTGAAATTTCGTACACCGAAAAAATGCCGTGAGTAACGTATCACTTAAATGTTTCAAGTTAGTGTACTACACATGCGGCAGAGAATCAGCAAAGCCAGCGAAAATTCGAGGAAGCCAAAAAGGTTAGTGGTTTGAGCGCATTTGCTGAAAACAGTGAATGAAGTACTTGCCTACCAATTAGTTTTTGTCCAGAGGGACTCGGAAACAACTCCTGACTACTTCTTACTATCCGGAGTACAATCGTGGGGTTTCTCACCCACTCTAACTTATATATTCATCTCATGTGTGGACGTCACTAGATCAGTGGACATTGCGCACCAAGAAGGCGCTACGGAACATTAACCGCATGTTAGTCGTCTGCGTCAGCTATGTTCTCACTGCAGCATTTCGCATGGAAAGAAAGCCTCCTCCATTTACATTAAATCGGAATGAACTCCGTGACATTGCTTTTGAAGGGTGTAGAAGATTTTCTGGAGGGACAGTGTGTTCTAATGTAAGAGCAAAACGGCCACTCCAAACAAATTTGCCGAATTTGTGAACGAGTTTAATTGTAATCATCATTAAAAAAAATAAGCAGCTCAGGGGAAGGACGGTTTCACTGGGTTGAGTCACCCGAGAAGAGACAGTAGGCATGTGGCAAGGTGTCGTGGATTACCGCTATTGAAGAATAAGTGAGGCCATGCCTTGTGTATCATCCGTTACGTTGACAATGAAATCCCCACGTTTGTCGTCTGCGTCAGCTATGTTCTCACTGCAGCATTTCGCATGGAAAGAAAGCCTCCTCCATTTACATTAAATCGGAATGAACTCCGTGACATTGCTTTTGAAGGGTGTAGAAGATTTTCTGGAGGGACAGTGTGTTCTAATGTAAGAGCAAAACGGCCACTCCAAACAAATTTGCCGAATTTGTGAACGAGTTTAATTGTAATCATCATTAAAAAAAATAAGCAGCTCAGGGGAAGGACGGTTTCACTGGGTTGAGTCACCCGAGAAGAGACAGTAGGCATGTGGCAAGGTGTCGTGGATTACCGCTATTGAAGAATAAGTGAGGCCATGCCTTGTGTATCATCCGTTACGTTGACAATGAAATTCCCCACGTTTATTCTGTGTCCATTTGTAACCCCCGCCCCACTTTTGTGTTTAGTGTGTATATATGAACTGTCGTTTGTTTGTCCTTACGACTTCACACATTTGGCCTTGAGGTCATCCGGCCATCTGTATCTGACTTTGCACGTGTGACTGTCGCATGTGGGAGCCTGTTTGCTCCCCTGCTTTGTACTTTCGTAGTCCAAGCGGACTGTTTGTTTTGGACGCGTATCTACTGTCGAGGTTTGTATAAATTGTGAATTTCTCTTACCCTAATAGTACTATATAGAAACCCAGCTCCGACTTTGTTTTGCCTACCCAGAGGTTCTGGTATTACGCGTCACTCGAAGATACCGTTCGACCGTTACACCTTCTCTCGGTGAGAACCAAGCACGTCGCTTATTGTTCGGTTTAGGTCAATCGGTCAAATGCTATAACGCTGGCCAGACGGTCACGGGTTTGAAACTCCCTGAGTTTCACAAGATCAGCACTGATGACGCTTCTAAACTAGGACCAGCCAGCTTCTCGGGTTTCACAGGATAGATTACTAACTGGCAGGACCAAGTCTTTAACAATACTGCGAAGCTCAAATTGTACTGGAACGACAGGATTGTTAAATCCGAGGGAAGGACTCAGTTTATTAGAACGAGCTTGCCCAAGAGGAGGTGTGGGCCAGGACAATAGCATTTGGAGTTGTGCGTAAAGGATGGGCAAGTCGAGAGGTGACAATCGAGAGTAATAGGAGAGTAGTTGTGATTCTGGCACCAGCATGGCCGCGCTGATGCTTGCCATCACTAGACTGACAAACCTTAATTTCTGAACAGTTCCATAACCGACGTCTAGGTTGCAATGATAAAAAGGGCTGCACATTACTGTGACTTGTTTGCCTTCTGGGGCCGCTGGGCTTTGAAGCTACTGTTTTGCATGTCACGTGCTACTAACATGGAGATTTTGCGCAGCCAAACGGATTGTAGTCAGCTGTGTTGCAATCGGGCGGCCAATGCCGGCATATCAGGGGCCGGTGAAGCCGTCACAAAAGTTTGCAAGAGCTGATGTCTCTCAGCTTGCACGTCAGATGCTGCATTAGAGATTAGAACACAAGAAATGGGTCTTGACGTTTGTAAGCGTAGTGTACGAGGAATTGACTCCTTGATACGTTGTTTGAGGACGAATGGAGAAAGTTATTTTTCAGGGTTTAGGAACATAAACACTACAGGCTGGCAGCCGGAAGAGGGCAGCATTAAGATAAGTAATTAGAAGCGTGCCTTGTAAGTTTGAGAAGCCGAAAAAACCGGATAGTGGTGAATCGTGCGAGACAGGAAGAACATAAAAATTTGTGCGGCCAAATTTATGGTGTAAAGGGCTTACACCTGGAACCGCACACGAAAATGACCCCGAAGACATTGATGACGGAGACAATGGTAGAGATAGGCAGTCTTCACAGGATGAAGGAACACTTGGTGCATTTAAATCATGAGCTTCATTAGAAAATTGGTGTTAAACACCAGAAGGAGGGCCAGGGTGAGAACGAAATCCAAGAAAGAATTGTGGCACCTGACCATGAGAAACTGGTTTCGTAGATGCGGCGATGTGTGCCACAAATGACGGAGAAAATATCACCTGCGTAAGTAGTTAGATGCGTTTAAATAATTGCTTTTGTTGTTTAGGCACAAACACATCTCCCCCTCCTCGTCAGAACAGCTTTCCAGATCGGCTGTTTTATTTAAGGTCCTCGAAACAGTTCTCTCGGATATTTGGAAAGCTACTCCACTCCTTCTGCGGAATTTTAAGTCATAACAAATATTACCAAGTTTATTATGTTCAGGTCCTCACTATGAAAATGATAGCTATTGAAATCGATCACGATAAGCCACCAAAATCTGTCGCTCGGAATGCAATCGTCTCCTCCCGTTTTTCTGTATCATGAATAGCAGTTTCGGATAAGACCCAGAAGTACCAGTCAAAAGACAATTTCTTGTAAACGTTAGCTTTTTCATAAGAAAAAACTTGCATACCAGAATCAACAAAGTTCGTCTCTTACACGGACCGGCTCCTCCAGAGTGCCCGCTACCGAAAACATATATAGGGGATAAAGTCGAATTTGCTGTCAATGAATGAATCCGTCAGGCGCTAACCATTTCACGCTCCTGAGAGCAAGCTTTAGTGTAATCAGTAAGAAATGTATCGTTCGATAGCGCTTTTCCAAAGCGCGCAAGTTTGAACGCTAAGACCAAGGCTTTTGCGGGAAACCTAGACAAGTGAATTTCCCCGAACCCCACGTGGACTGTTTGCGCATTCAACGGAGTCGGATGCCCATCGCTATGTGGTGAGGCCAAGCAATGTATTCGCTTAACCTTCCACACTATATATTCTATATCATTATCAAATTCATAACGCAGTAGATACAGTAGCTCTAAATACGGACTGGTGGCTCCATATCACTGGGACGTAATATCATGCTGTTTAACGAACACTGGTTTCCATGGTCTGATTTGCTCAGAGTCTTGTAGTAGGGAGTCAGTGTCACCATATCCAAACTTCGTTGGCGAATGATACGGATTGAACAAACCGTAACACAACAGAAAGATGTTCCGTGCTTGAGGCCAAATTGAATACTGTAGACTATCGAAGCCTCTCGACTTGTGCCCGCGTGGTTAGCCTTATGCGCTTTTAACTTTTGTATGCGGTTATGCTGGGATTTTTTCGGTGAAATGTTAGCGACCAACGTTGGACTGATATTCTCACTGGAGCATGAAGCTGACCCGATGGTCAAATGAGTTCATTTTGCTTTCTAAGCTTGATTTTCATCAAAACTATTTCTACAAGCTGGCCAAGTTTTCTCTTTCTTTTATAATTTCCAAGCCCAAGTATATGGTCACAAACGCAAACCATAATATTGATCTAGATAAAGCTCAAAACTTATCCATTTGGGATACTTCGCTGAGATATTTTTAGATCGTTTGGAACTTGATATCGGACATAGAATGGATGAAACCGAACAATACGCTTGCAAACATATATGAGACAACTTCAGTATGGATATGTATATGTTTTAGCAAAGACCGCTTAAAATCATGGTTCGTACGTAAGGTACCCATGCTTAAAACTCATACTAGACAAATAACACAGGCCGAGGGTTGTGCTGGTATATCATAACGACTCAGTCAGCCATTTTAAAGTAGTTTGCGGGCGAAATTTGCGAACTAGGATTTGGTTTGAATCTTTGGCCGGCAAACCTACTGAATACGCCATCCTTGCTGGGGTGTATTTTATCTTTCGCATAAGATCATCAATTGCCTCGTGAAATTATAGGCAATTATCGGCCTCGACAATTATATGCACCGTAAGGAACCTTTCATACTCATCAATAAAACCGCCATAATTTCAAAAATTACAACAAATAAGATAAATGTGGACATGCTTTTCTAAAACGCTTGCTGAAACAATCAGAATCGACAAAATAGAAAATGCCCCACTTTCCTAAGCAAGAGAGAAATTAAGCACTTGGTGTTTATCATGTTTATATTGGTGAAATGGCACAAACTAGTCAGCTTGGGGCAAGCAACTGGCATTATCGCAGTATCAAATGTCGGGGCCAAAAATACGGGGAGTTTTTGGTCGGTATTTGTGTCCGGTTATACTGAAATTCACACCAACGTGTCGTGTCAACATTATAGCACTATGGCACGCTATAATCTAGAAGCCGGTCTTATGTTTGGCTTAAATTTACTCGAATTCGGTTGTGTTTGAAAATGGCATGATGCGTGACATGATGTGTGTCCATTGCCAGATTTCACACGTTTTACGAATAATTCTGCTCTCTAGAAATTCCTGGGCTTTGGGCCGAAAAATTGCTTGGCGACCCAGTGACTATGTGGACAAGGGCGCACGTGAATGCTCATTGCACCCACAACAACGGGTCGAAGATCGTGAACCAGATTTGCAAGGATATTGTTGTGTTCAGTTCGACATCTTTGCGACTGTTCCGTTGAGAAGGATTATGCTCAAGAGATAATTAACACTTAAAGGCCCTTAAACACGTGTTTAAACAGCCCACAAGATGTGCATTTGCGAAAAATTGGATGGTCCATAAAAGAGAAGCAGCGTCACCTACCAAAAAGTCTATATTTTAAGGACTCGAAGATTAAATTTTGAGTAAGTGCAGAGGAAGGTACGTCGGGCAAGTTGGATCCAAGTTTTGTATCTACCATATGTTGAATGAACGCCAACTGTTTTCTGCTTTAGACACTTTTGGCGAAACCGAACACGTTTGATCGAGCACTGCACCATAAAAATAGTTGTAATTTCATTTCCCGAACTTTTGGGTGTGTACTACTGAAGCCATGATCAAGTCGTCACACTGAATATGGTGGGCAAAACATGAAGTTACACTTAGTACTTGATATATTATTGAAAATTCCGAAGAAAAGACGCTGAATCAACAAAGGCAGAGCTGCATGTTCATTTAATGAACCGATTCGTCCTATCCGAACCAAAACTGTGGGCCACTGCAGACCATTAGTGGCCCTGAACGATTGAATTAATGGCCAGGCAAAAGAGGCATAAATGGGTTGGATGAGATGGAGAAAGTTTCTTTAGGAAAAAATGGCATTTTTCATGGCAAAATCATGATGTAAGATAAGTGGGATCGGTTTCCTCATTCCGCTTTTGGGAAAAGTCAAGACTAAGTTTCATCTGAGAGAGCAGAAAGTTGCCTAAGGGTGTGATCAAACTACCATAGTATCGGAAGCATTTGCATTTCTGGAGAGGACTTGGTGAAGGTGTAGCATATCCCGAAGGAATGGTTAAGCACTTCACAATCAGGCCACTGAGGCTGAGTGGGCCCAGGAAATAATTTGTTCCTTTTCGCAAGTCAAGACCTAAGAAGGTGAGGGGTATAGTTAAATGTATATGGGGAATACATGCGGTTGCGCCATCAAATTCAGTGTGATAATGCCTAACCATCAAAGCGTTGATATATTTCGGGTTCTGAATAGTTGCATAATGGACAATAATACTGGGGCAATTGGCCAAGGAATGTGTGCTTCCGTGGTTGTGGGGCTTCGGGAAACCCGAGAGGGTCTACATACATAGGAAGGCCAAATCAGAATATCAAGTGATTTTGGTTTATTTGAAGAGGCATGCGGTTTAAAAGCGCAGACCTGGCGGATCAAAACAAGGAACAAATAGGACGGCAGTTCCAGCTACCTTTGAAGATGAAAACCTGGGAATTGGAAAAAGTGGGGTGAAAGTGTAGAATCCCGGCTCTTATGCTGAGGTGTTGGATGGTATGGGTTCATCGACCTAAAAAGTCGAAAGATTGGTTCTGTTCGGGGAGTGATCACTAGTTGTTAAACGGGTCTAGATACAAATAAGTTTGTGTTGTATTACTCATGACTGAGGGTGCGGCTTAGGTTGACATTACGATGCTTATACGGTACTAGTCGACGCAGAACAAACTAATAAAATTTGGTTTCTTTGTGAGTTTGTAGCATACTCAGCTAATGACACAAGCTATCCACTTGGCTGTGAATTTGTCAAGTCATGTTCCCCTCTGGGCATCAGTCCACAAGCAGGCAAAAGCCCAAAAACAGAGACCAGCCTCTTGCTTTGGGCAAGGGAATGTGCTAACCAATCCGATAAAAGACCAAGAGATATAGCTGCAGAACTGGTTGCTAGAAAAAATAATAATGTGGAGTCAGGGCGTGATGGCAATTTCTCCAGCTCCCACCGAGGGGAGTGGGAATAAATGTTGGTTCATGAGAAATGCGTTGGACAGCTGAAGGGTAATGAAGACAACTTTGGAGGTAGGAGATGAGACGTCAGGAAAACCGGAAGTTGCTAAGTAAACTGAATAATACCACTTTTGGGAGAGGAACTGATGCTAAGGGTGCACATCACCAGTCCCCGAGTCAACGCCGTCAGCTTAAAGCAGTCAGCGGTGTGATGTGAAAAACATTTGGCGCCGTCTGTGAATGTTGGGAACAAAGAACGAGGAATATCCGCATATTTTATTTGTATGTCACCACTTCCCGGGGCAAAAAGGGGCGGCATGCGCTGGTTGTGTTTGGCACACAAAGCAGAGTCAGTAGCTGGCAAACTAAACATGGACGAAAATTGAGACAGATGTGCACCTCTATAAAGAGCAAGAGCGCTCCAGAGAGTTTTCCGACACGAAGCTGCACATAATGCTTTGGTCATCGATAACAGCACACATCTTACTACAAAATCATGCGAGCAATGCTTGAATGACCTTGGATGCCGGCATCTGTTTACTGTTCCACAATATCTCCAGTTAAATGCGCTCACTCAAACCTTCATTTTCATCCACTTCTTTGTGAAACTGGACGGTGGAATCGATGATTTTCTAATATGAGAATGCCATGAAGTCAGCTACTTGGAAGAATCCCGCCCACTACGTGAAGGTTTTGACTATGCCCAAATGGTCGATGTTAGGTTTTTCAGGGGTATTGATTCACGGCCTGCTACAGGAATACTATTTTCATCAAATGGCAAAAATATAGTCAAAATTCTCGATTTGGATTGCATCTCTTGTCACCGGTGACACATGGACCAGGTTGACCCCAATACAAAACGTCAGCCTGCCGAAAATACTTCTGCTGTTTTGAATTCTAATGAATTTTTCTTATTTGATCTCGTCGTGTCCAAACGAAACTGTCTCTCTAAAACATACCGCCTGGAAAAACCTCAAGATTTTAACCCCGAAATATTTCACAGACCACTAAGAAATATAAACATCAACAAGCTCATTCAGGGTGTGGCAGATACGGTTATTATTTTTGATGCTCTATTTATTGCTCTCTTTTTAATATTCTAAATGCCATTTACACATCGGTTTGTACACATAAACCCACTTGTTACGCGAGGCTGAGTTCTGAATTTATAACTCGTTTAACGACGCGGTACGTTCGTAATCGGTTTCGTATTTCCCTCGCGCAAATTCGTGAAAAACGCTTTCGTTGTTCATTCTATTCACAGAGTACACACGAGTAATTGTTGAATTTTATTAGTCTAACAAAACATTTGAGTGATAACCCTTTATACTTTGCACACACTTTATTTTACATCTGGTCCGAAATATGACATCAATTTACACCGATTGCTCTCCGCAGCCATTGATGGACCACAATAGATGTGGACGAAATGGCTGCCCGTCGAAAGTCAAACGCGGTATGCAACACCACGCCTGCAAGGCCTGGTGGCATTTCAAATGCACGGGTTTACAGTACGACCAGATAAGCCGACTAGCCAACTCTCCTGACCCGTTTGTTTGTGCCAGCTGCCTCTACGTCAAGGGTGCAATGCATACCGCAGCGAACAGTAGAGTCCCCCGAAACGGTACACAATCCCCAGTGCAGATTCTGAAAGACCGCTATCAGTGTTACGCTTTAATCGGGATACTCGATGCGAAGGCATTGGAGGACCCAGGCGCTAAGGATGCAGCGACCTGGGCGAAAGTCGACAAGGAACTTTCCTCGCTGAACCAATACCTCGCGATGTCCATACCGGGTCCCATGGCTGCAAAGAAAGCCATACAACTTTCTGACGCGGCTATAAAAACCGCCACAGCGTCGCTAGTGGACAGACGCCTAAGGGAAAACAGGCTGATAATCTGGGGGTCGTTCTCCGGAAAAATCACGCCAGCGAAGCTGGCACAGTCGATCCTCAGCAAGCCTGATCAATCGCTCCACGCAGAATGGCTACGCCAAAAGGGAAGTAAGCGAACCCCTGGACTTCTAGTTACTCTTTCTTCCCCGTCCGACGTACAGGCAATCTTGGAGCGGGCTGGAAGCATTCAAAAGGCCAACCCAATGATCAGGCGCCTTTCCGAGGATCGTCCTCGAGACGCGCGCAAGATTGGTCACAACAGGTCAGGAGTGGAAGCACGAAACAGGCTTCCACCGGGCACTAAACCAGACGACCCCAAACTCATGACCAAGCCGATTGTGGTCATATCCCCCTGTGCTCCCGAAAGCAGGCCGATGAAACCAGCTGGTTCTCCGGACAGCAGTTTTTATTCGACCACCACAGGCCTCTCGCCCACCAAAGGCAGGGACGCCCTGGAGGAGGCAAAACCCACATGCAAGCAGCGCCCAAACTACGTGGAGCTATCTCCGCAACAGAGGGCACGGCTGCAGCCGCGCACTTGTCAACAAAGCTACAGCCTCAACAAAGCCAGAGCCTCTGAATTGTATTGAGTCAGATGTGCGGGGACAGGAAGCGAAGCCAATCTTCAGCTCCACTCCGTCAAAAGCGGTCTCCGGTTGTGGACACAACCGCCACACATGACGCCGACAATCTAAGCCATAAGCATGACCACAGTCATCCAGAAAATCCCTCGTACATTCAGTTGGCCACGCTGATCGCCGGCGGATCGGGTGTCCACACACACACGAAAGAAGAGCGACTGCAGCCAAACAAGCCACATAAAGTTCGCCATATTAGAAAACTGCTGGCTGGCTTCAAGGTGCAGTGCTCCGCGAAAACGAGCCTCTTGGGAGCGCCACCAAAATCGTTACTTTTTGGTGCCACCACCCAGGGCTCAGGGCCTCACAGCAACACTTTTCCGGTTAAACCGCGCAAAAACGCTCAAGGATCCAGAAAGGCGAAAGCTTGCAGCAAAACTTTGATCAACAGCAAATCTGGTCGACGAAAAAGGGATGCTGAAAGAGCTACAAACAGCATCGGTCGGAAGTTTCGCCCATGGGGTAAAAACTCCGTCCCCCAAAGCCAAAAAGCCCGAGCAGACCGAGCTCTCACTGAACGAATAAAACCCCGCGGGCGAAAAGCACCCCCAGAAACCACAAAGGCAGGAAGAAGACAACATCGCCCCATAGGCCCTCTCGGAGCTTTGGACTCAAACTCAAACCTGGTGTACAACTATTAAGTCTGCTAACCACCCTGGTCACTCAACTTTCGGCTCCTCACCCTCGGAGGCAGCAGAGACAGCGTTGAAAGGCTTGTCCATAAACTGCCTCAGACTTTTCAACAAACTCGGCGACGTTAAAAAGTCAGCTTGCCTTGGACCATCAAGGACCCAGGAAGGCGAAAGCTTGCCGTAAATCCCTGAGCAACAGCAAATATGGTCGAAAAAAATGGAGGTGCCGAAAGAGCTACAAACAGCAACGGTCGAAATTTTCGCCCATGGGGAAAAGACCTCGTCCCCCAAAGCTAAAAGGCCCAGGCAAACCGGCCCCCAACGAAAAGAGAAAAATTTTGCAAGTGAAAACCAACCCCAGAAACCACGAGGAGAGGACGCAGACGACATCGCTCAAGATGCTTATTTGGATTCTCATTCTCAAAAGCCGTGCATAATTATTAAGAATGCTAACCACACTGGTCACTCAACTTTCGGCTCCTCACCCTCGGAGGCAGCAGAGACAGCGTTGAAAGGCTTGTCCATAAACTGCCTCAGACTTTTCAACAAACTCGGCGACGTTAAACAGTCAGCTTGCCTTGGACCATCGTCCATAATCGCACTCACAGAGACCTTGCTCACACCGGATGTCTCTGACGCGGAGATCTCGATAGAAGGTTACTCTATTTTTCGAGCTGACTCAAAACGAGGGAGGACGGGGTGGGTTGCTCTGTACTTACATTCGGCTCCACCAATCCGGATTGTCCTCTCTGATACCACCCGTGCACCCTTTTGCGATGCACTGTGGGTCCAAATCCCGCTGCGTGCGTCCGATTCTCTCCTTCTCGGTGTGGTCTACCGTAGCCCTTCGAGTTCCCCTGAAGATGACCAATTCCTCATACAAACACTTAAGAAACTCTCCTCTAACTACCACTTCACTCATCGCCTCCTGGTAGGTGACTTCAACGCCGAAAGGGTCCCCTGGAGGAACTCCAGCGCGTCAAATCAGGCGGACTTTCCGCAGCGGCGCTGTTTGAAGTCCTTCAACAGAGCGCTTTGACCCAACATGCCGTTACACCCACCAGATACCGCGCAGGCCAACTACCATCCCTCCTGGATTTGGTCATGACCAACGAAAGACACTTCGTTGACCAGGTAGCAATTAATGCTCCTTTGGGACATAGCGACCACTATGTGCTGACCTTTGATTTCATCTGCTATTGGGCCAGAAATCCCAAACCTGAAACGCGGTTTCGAGACTTCTGCCGTGCAGACTTCTCAGGAATGCGCATCTTCCTTGAACAAGTCACACTGGGACCAGCTCCGGTGGAAGAAATATGTAGGACCATTGTCCAGAAAGTTCACGAGGCTGACGCGACGTTCGTCCCGAGAAAACCGGAACACACTCGGATGAACCGCAGCATGCCAAAAAGGATTCGGCGACTTCTGTAAAAAAGATTCTAACTCTTTTACAAAAAGATGACTACAGGGGATACGGAAGATGAGCTGGCATTTCGTAAAATGCGGAAATGCTGTAAATTGGAAATCCGCCACTGGAACATACGAAAATAAGCCACCATTCTGGAACTTGCTCAAAAAAACCAAAACGTACTGTTCAAGTACATGAGAGATCGCCGAAGAAACAAGCCATGCGGGCTTTCCTTGAGGGACAGAACCGGAGAACCGACAAATGACCCAACAGTGGATTCTGGGACTTACAGAGAATGTTATGCGTGTCTATACTCAGCCCAAGCTTCCTCGTCACATCCACTCTTGTCAAGGAGAAAATACGAACAGCCTCTAACCGACTTGGTCTTCATGGTGGAGGACGTTCGTCTACCCTTGCACAAGATCAACCCATTCGGCGCGTTGGGGCCCGACGAGGTCCATCCAAGGATCCTGAAAGAAACGTCCTCCACACTGGCAAACCATTTACACTTGGTGTTTCGTCAGTCGCTTGACGAAGGCCGCCTTCCCCCTGCTTGGAAGGAAGCGATTGTCACGCCAATATACAAAACTGGTGACCGACTATCGCCTGGCAGCTATAGGCCTATAAGCCTCACTAGCGTGCCGTGCAAGGTGATGGAACGCATTCTGAAGCGAGCCATCCTAGATCACCTTACTTCCAGCAATCTGATATCTCCAGCTCAACACGGATTTCTCCCAAACCGTTCTTGCGTGACAAACATGCTCGTGTTTATGGACAGCTTAACCCAAGCCAAGGACGAAGGACTCATATCGGATGCCATATTTTTCGACTTCTCAAAAGCATTTGATAGGGTCCCACACGTCCCGCTGCTCCACAAACTCGAGTCTTACGGGATTCAAGGGAAAATCCTTCGCTGGATCAAGGCGTTCCTATCAGACAGGTCATTCCGAGTGAGAATAGGCTCAACCTATTCCTCTCCAGCGCCGGTCTCCATTGGAGTTCCTCAAGGCTCCGTCTTGGGACCACTCCTGTTTCTGATCTACGTCAACGACCTCCCAGACGTTCTTGC